AACAAAACATTCTTAATGCCCTAGTTTCTATTTGGATAAAACAAAATTTAACATATACTCTCCCCCTCGGTTCTCCTATCATTACCACCTCGTGCCGATTTCCGATTTTACAGCCTCATCAGTATAATTTTTATCCGTATTGTGGTCTTGGGGCCTCATATACACGACCTTATAGACTCATACGGTGTTGTCAATTTGCTCACTGCCTATTTCGTTAATTCGGGATTCCCCTCTTTATTTTCTATTTAAGCCAAGAAAGTTATTTCTCATTTCGCGATTGTTTAAGTAATGGATACCTCAAAATAGATTTATGATCTTAAAAACGGCAAAAGTATAATATTTAAGTAACCTATATTTTAAACAAAAGCTTATAAATGACAAAATATTGTTCAATATATATATATATATATATATATATATATATATATATATATATATATATATATACATATATATATATATATATATATATTATATATATATATATATATATATATATATATATATATGTATATATATATATATATATATATATATATATATATATATATAATTTCAGTTGTTTTCCCGGTTTGACTCCGCGTTAAGTAATTTTGGTTTTTAGAAATACCATTGTTTTGACGACGTTTCGGCAAGGTCACACTCGCCATTGTCAAGTCAGATTAGTTCTGCTTCGTCTTGATGTTTCAGGAGAACTGATTTCTCGGTCGCTGCTCGCTAGGTTTAAATACCTTGAAGCTCTTCTTGTAATTGGTCCTGTGCGCAGAGTGTCCGGGTCTTCTTCGCTATTTTAATTTCTACGTTTTTCTGCAGAATTGGTTTCCACGTATTTGGGAGTCTTTGAGCATCGTGTCTGGTTTTAAATTTTTTGGATGTTTTTAGATCTCTATGGCTTCCCTGATTACACGTTTGGCCTTATTTTCGATATTGGCTAGCATTGTTGTTCCATTTAAGTCGATTTTGTGTCCTGTGTTGATGGCATGTTGTGCTAGAGATGAAGTTTTCTGTTTTCTTTCGATGGCGTTTCGATGTTCTTCGCGTCTAACTTGTATCCTTCGATTTGTCTGTCCGATGTACGATTTATCGCAGTCCTCACACGGGATTACGTATACACCTTGATTTTCCAATGCAACTTTTGTTTTTGCCGATGGTAATAAAATTGCGATTTTTTTGTCGGTGTTAAAAATAGTTTCTATGTTGTTTTTACGTAGCACTCTGCTGATTTTGTCTGTCGTACCCTTTATATAGGGCAGGATAGTTTTTCCGACTGGTTTTTCCTCTTCTTCTGGATCTTTGATTTTGTTTCGGGATTTCTGTGCCTTTTCAATCGTATACATGGAGAAGCAATTTTTTCTTAAAGCTGTTTTGACTTTTTGCATTTCTTCGTTCTTATGTTCCTTATCTGCCAGTTTCTCAGATCTTGTTATTAGGGTTTTTATTACCGAATTTAATTGTGCAGGATGATGGTGTGAGTCTGCGTGTAAATACCTGTCAGTATGGGTTGGTTTTCGGTATACTGTGTTTCCTATGCTTCCGTCTTCTTTCTTAATAACTAACACATCTAGAAATAGAAGTTGTTGGTTATTCTCCCGTTCCATGGTAAATTGTATTTTTGGGTGGATATTATTAATGTGTTGTAGGAATTCGTTAAGCTTCTCTTCTCCATCATCATCATCATCAGTTGGCGCTACAGCCCTTCGTGAGCCTTGGCCTGCTTCAAAACATTCTTCCATCCTTCCCTATCGAGTGTCTGTCTACTCCAGCCCCTCACTCCAATCTCCCTCAGATCTTCCTGTACATCGTCCAGATATCTGAGTTTAGGTCGCCCCCTTCTTCTTCTTCCGACCGGCCTATTTAGCATAGTTATTTTAGTGGGATCACTCTCATTCATCCGCATAACGTGGCCCACCCACCTTAGGCGGTTTATCTTGATGGTCTTCACAATATCTGCATTACCAAAAAGTGTATAGAGTTCTCTCTTCTCCATGCGTCCAGATAATAAATGTGTCATCGACATACCTAAGCCACAGTTTGGATTTATGCTCTGCTGTTTCTATTGCTTTTGATTCCATATCTTCCATGAAAAGGTTGGCTATTATGGGTGACAGTGGTGAACCCATCGGTGCCCCTTCAACTTGTTTGTACCTCTGGTCCTTGTAGATGAAATAAGTGTTGTTTAAGCAGTGCCTCGTCAGGTTTAATGTATCCTGTGGTATTGGATATTTTCTGCGTATAATTTCTAATGATTCTTCTACTGGCACATTGGTGAATAATGAGACTTCATCAAAGCTCACTAATAAGTGTTCAGGTTCCAAAACAATGTCCTTGATACGGTCGATGAAGTGGCTTGCATTCTTGACGTAAGAATCCGCTTTCTCTGCATATGGTTGTAGCTGGTCGACCAGAAATTCTGCCAGTGATTGTAGCGGTGACCCGATAGAGCTTACTATTGGTCGTAATGGTAACTCTGCGTTATGTACTTTGGGTAAATCGTAAAGTTTTGGACATCTTGACGACTTTTCTCGTGGAATCAGCTGGAACTGCTGTTCTTTCTTGATCTCTGACGCTTGTATTTTGGCTTTAGTTGTTTTCTCCAGATATGTTGTCGGGTCTGTTGCGATTTTTTGATATGCACTGTCGTTTAGTATGATCTGTATTTTTGTGTCGTAGTCTTCAATATTCATTATGACAGTAGCGTTAAGTTCGTAAGTTAAATTCTTTTTCAGAGGCTTGGCTGTTCTTAATATTTGTGCTACATCTTGTCGAATAATTTCGGCTGTTTCTGATGGTAACTTAGTGATAGTTGTTTCCACTTCGCTAATGATGTTGTCGATGAGAATCCGTATCGGTGCAATAGTAAAATTGAACCCTTTGGAAAGAACACTATTTGTAGCTTCATTTCATTCATTCAAGTCTTTCGTTATGCATTCGTAGAGTGCTTTTAATTCGATATTGTCATGGTGGGGTCCGAAAATTTTCTTAACCTAAGTTCAAAGCGTCTGAGCTTTTCTTCGTTTGCTTTGGTCATGGTCCACGTTTCGCATCCGTATGTTATTACAGGTCTGACGATGGATTTATAGATTTTGATCTTTGAACTTCTTGTGAGATTTTTTGATTTAATGAGCTTATCCAGTGCAAATAGACAGCGGTTTGCAGATTGGATTCTGTGTTTTATTTCTTTAGTAACATCGTTATCAGCTGTGATTACGGCTCCCAGATACTTAAAACGTTGTACTCTTTTGAACGTTGTACTTAAAATGGATGTCAACGAGAAAGGAGGAAGATTACAAGATAATTATATAAAAAATTAAATCGAGATGTAAAAAAAGAAATAGTGAAAAGTAAAAGTCTGCAGAGGTGGATAGGTATATGGGTGGAACAAGAGGTAAGTAAACGTGGAAGGTGATAAAGTCTCTCCGAAGAGAAGGAAAGAAAAAATCTAATTTCCAGTTAATAGATCTAAACCAGTGGAAACACCATTATGAGGTCTTACTGAGAGAGGATAGACATAAATTTAAAGAGATTGAAATGGAAGAAATATCGGAACGTACACAAATAATTGAGATAACAACCGGAGAGTTAAGCGATGCCCTCAAAATATCGAAAATAGGTAAAGCAGCAGGACCTGGAGAAATCCCAATTGAGTTGATAAAGTATGGACCAAAAGTATTACATGAGATGTTGGTTCAACTATTTAACAAATATAAATAACAAAGAATAAAATATCCCTGATGATTGGAATGTTGGATACATCAGCTGAATATTCAAGAAAGAGGATAAACGTAAATGCTTTAATTATAGGGGAATAACTGTTATCAGCTCAGTGAAGAGGTTATACGGTCAAATAATAAAAGAAAGAATAGAATACGAATACGAAGATATAGAAGAACAAAATGGATTTCGTGCAGGAAGATCGTGCACTGATGGTATATTCGTTCTGCAGCAAGTAATCGAAAATCGAAAGGCAAGGAATCTATTTACTCACCTATTGTTTGTAGATTTAGAGAAGGCATACGATACGGTACCTTGGAAAAAACTGTTTCAAACATTGAAGAAAGTAGGTCTCGGTAGAGATTATATGGATGCTATCGCAAATAGATACAAAAATACAAGAAATGTCGTTAAAAAAGGAAACTTTATATCTGAATTATTTCTAATAACAAAGGGGCTTAAACAAGGAAGTTGTCTATCTCCAACCTTATTTAAAATATATATTCAGTCATCGCTAGTGCAGTGGAAACAAGTATCCGGAATGGGAATAGACATAGGCGGTGGTAAATGTCTAAAAATTTTATTTTTTTAGATGATCAAGTAGTCGTAGCGAATGATACCTTGGTAGAGCCTATTATGACTTATGGTTCAGATCACGAAAAAAGATAGAAAAAGAACAGAAGTAGTAGAAATGGATTTTCTAAGGAGAGCTTGTGGTGTCTATCAGGGATGAAGATATTAAAATAAGGACAAATACTGTATATTCTAGTATAGATAGAATTGAAACGAAACAACTAGTGTGGTTTGGTTACGTGAAGCGAATGAATGAAGATCGATGGCCAAAGAAAGCTTTAAATTACATACCACAACAAAAAAGAAAAAGAGGAAGACCTTCAGTTGTCTGGGAAGAAAATGTACGGCACATAATAAAAGATAGAGCCATCAAAGAAGACGAATGGATGGACAGAATATATTATTATATAAATGTATATATATATATATATATATATATATATATATATATATAAATATATATAAATTATATATTATTTTTATACATATATTCCATCATATTGTGCAATATCATTTTATTTTTGTAAATATTGTACAGCCATCTTCAGTTGATCTGTCTTCAGATCTTAGATAAATAATTCAGATAATATTTTAGATTGATTTTTTTCTTTTGGTTATTGACGTTTGCACTTTTCAGTTAGGACTAATTAAATTTTTTTATAATTATTGTGTGTGATTAAATATATAAATTTAAACAAATACTCTATATTACTTACCTAATTCATTTGAAAAAGCTTTGTTACCATAAACACTCAAACAAATATAATTTAAAACACAAAGTATGAACGATACGCGAGACAACATTTTGTTTATAATAACACGATAAGCATGTACCGTCAACAGTTTCTTGATGAATCAATTTTTAAAAGTATGAGAGTAGTACTATTTGACGATTAACTTAATTGACTGATAATGACATTGTGATAACCGAGGTCAAAAAGTTATTTCAGGGGCGGGTAAGGCCATTTCGACTGGTGCAACGAAAACTGTAGTAACTTAATTTTTGTATAATTGGAGTTACGACCTTCTAAATTATTTTATACTTCTTTTTTTGTTTCTATGGCTTCCACGTCATGGTGATACGCTAGCTCAATTTGGTGGTGACCCCGATAAAATCTGGCTCTAAACCAACTCGAGGCCACTTACTTGTGCCAAATAATTTTGTAGAAAAAAATTCATTAATAGCTAATAGGTTATGTTAGTAAACAGTACAAAAAGTATTAAGCATTGTTAATTACAAATAAATTAATTTATTATTTGAAAGGAATTTTTTTAAAATGCTGACTGATTCTTTAGTAAAATATAGAATAGGGGAAAGTGGGGGAACCGTGCGCGGTGGGGAACGGTGCGCACCATTAAAATTCAAATTACGCGGCATACTGAGAGTCCCCTCCCGAACAGGCTTAAGCGGGAACATGCACAGAGTCTCTGAAGCCATTAACTGCCACTGCAGTTGAGTTGTGTACTTAGTGAAAGGCGAAAGTGTGCATTTGAGGTTTTTGTTACTATTTTCCACTTGCACAAATTAAGACGGTGAGTCCGTAAATCTTAACTACTTGTTTTGAAATAATTATATTCTTAAAGAATATCATCTGCTGCATATATGCACACCATTTGGTTGCATTTAGATAAGTAATTTTTGTAGGATGATGTAATTACGTTTTTAAACCATAGTGGGGTAACCGTGCGCGAAAATGCGCACGGTTACCCACTAATCAATTAAATATGAAGCAATATTGTTATCGTTTTTGGGTACTAAAATCCGTCTTTTATTTTCAGATGCCACGAAATTACGTTCGAAAGACTGAAATCCATCAATATAGTGATGAATTGCTGGAGACTGCACTGAATGCAATTAGAAACGATGGGAGGAAAATACGAGAAGTTGGGAGGTCTTTTGGTATTCCTGAATCAACACTCAGAAAAAAGCTTTCTCTAAATCAACTAAAAATCCCCCATCTCGGTAGAAAGGCGATTTTTACAGCAGAAGTGGAAGCTGAATTAACCCACTATATTCTGACACTCGCAAAATTGTTTTACGGCGTAACGCCCCGACAACTGAGGCAGTTAGCGTTTAATTATGCTCAACAGAAAAATATTCCAAATAATTTCAATAAACAAACTCAGTTAGCAGGCAAAGATTGGTTGTATGGGTTTCTCAAGCGAAATCCTGAAATATCATTGAGACAGCCTGAGGGGACTAGTCTTAATCGAATTGCTGCATTTAATGCGGACGAGTTAAAACTTTTTTATTCAAATCTCGAGAAAGTTTTACAAAAATTTAAATTTGAAGCAAACAGGATATATAATATGGACGAGACGGGTGTAACCACTGTACAGAAGAAGTGCCCGAAGGTTTATGGACGTAAGGGTGTAAAAAAAGTAGGAGCTGCTATTTCAGGTGAAAGAGGGAGGACCATTACAGCCGTATTTTGCATGAGTGCCACAGGAAATTATATCGCGCCCATGCTGATATATCCCAGAAAGAGAATGGCTCCTGCGCTGCAGAAAAATGGGCCAACTGGTGCTAACTATAAATGTTCAAAAAATGGATGGATGAATTCTGAACTTTTTCTTGATTGGTTAATGCACTTCGAAAAACAGGCAAATCCCACTTTAAATGACCCGATTCTCCTTATCCTTGACAACCATTCAAGCCATATATCCATAGAGGCATACGATTTCTGTAAGTCAAATCATATTCATATGGTGTCCCTTCCGCCACATACTTCCCATCACCTTCAACCCCTTGACCTATCCTTCTTTGGTCCTTTAAAAAATGCGCTATACAGGGAGTATGATATTTATTTAACTACAACAGGCCATGAAAAGATCACTGAATATGACGTAGCTGAGCTGTTAAATAAAGCGTTCGTAAAAGTCGCATCGATGGAGAAAGCAGTTTCGGGATTTCGTTCTGCTGGAATAAGGCCATTTGACCCTAACAAATTCAACGAAGATGATTTCGCTCCGGCCAACGAAATGAGACAGTTTGTAGTAGAAGGTTCTCCCGAACGTAGCGCTAATTTATTAACACTTGCATCTCAGCCAAATCTACAAAAAATTCCTAATCCGGCAACACCCGAACCTAGTGAAAATTCAGACGGTGAAGATAGACAGACAGCTCATATGCCAAAACAACAGCAGCAGGATCTACCTATTCAAGGTCATCTACCATGTACATCTACCGCTGAACAAGATCATCTACCATCTACATCTAAGTCTGGACACAACCATCTACCATCGACATCTACATTAAATAATTCATTCTTCCAATTTGCACCTATTCCAAGGAGAAAAGAAAAAGGAAGAGTAAAAACAGTGTCTCGTTCGAAACAACACTCTGAAATATTGACTAGCACACCCCTAAAAGAACGATTAGAACAAGCTCAAGCAAAGAAAAGGGAAAAAGACGTGAAAAAAAACATGAAATTAAAAAGTGTCAAAACATTAGGAAAGAACAATATTAAGAAAGATAATAAGAAAATGAAGAGGGCTCCAACACCTGAACTTGATGCACAAGAACGTGACGAGGAAGATGAAATCGAGAATGCTTATTTCTCGATCCCACCTCACTCCTTCTACGGAACCACTACAAGAAAAATAACGGCAAAAGAGAATGTTGCAAAAAAAGTAAAAAAAACGCATATGTCAGTCTCCGGAAATTAAAAGAGGGAGAAATAAGAAACCAGCAACGCCTGAATCATCAGAGGTATCTGACATAGACGATAGTGACATTTGTGACGATGATGAAGTAGACGATATCAACCCCAACTATGTTCCATTTGATGCAGAACCTGACGTGCGGACTGAATTATGTGGCATATGTGGAGAACATGGAAAAAGCGAACTATGGTACCGGTGTGTTGCATGTGGCTTATGGAACCACGCGGCATGTACCGGTAAAGATGCCCCCGAACAATACATTTGCGACTTTTGTCAAGGTTAAACAGATACCTACTTAACATTATAGGTATATAATCACTCGTACAATAAATATTTGTTCTTGCATGTGAATTTGTTTTTATACCACTGTATTATTAGGTACTTGTATATTCCAAACTACTGCGCACTGTTCCCCACCCTGTGCGCACAGTTACCCCATGGGGTGGGGAACGGTGCGCAAATGCAATTTTTTACTTTTTCTAATTATATATGATTATGTTAAGAAATTCAATATCTATTATAGTGCATACTGAAAGTAGAATAATTAGGGTATCAGATAACGTTTTTATTTTATTTTTTATGTTTAAGAGTTGACCACCACAACGATTCTCGCTTAGGTGCGCACCATTCCCCCACCTTCCCCTACATAGTAATTGGTGAATTATAATTTATATAAATGAATTTTGTGTATACGTCAAAACTCGGAAAGATCCTTATGGGCATTCAAAAAATATATGATTTAGGTTCTCTATTCGGCCACATTCACAGTAAGGGTTGTCCATCAAATTCAGTTTAAAAAGATGTCGACTTGTTAAACAATGACCGGTCCGCATTCTTATAATAGTTTTAATGTGTCTCCTATGTTTATATGCAAAGTTTTGAAACCAAGTTTCCCTCTTATTAGGGAAAATATTTTGTACTCTGCAATACTGATACGATTTTTTGCTAATTAAAGTTTTCCAAGTGTTTTTGAATTTTTTTTTTAATTTCATTCTTAATTATGGGAAACACGTCTTGAGAATCTAATTTCATATTCAAAGGAACATTAAGATCTCTCAATATTTTGACCAGAGTGTCAACTTGAAGGTTGCCCGGTATATCGAAATGACCCAGTATACATGAGATAAGTATTTGCAGATGAAATAAGATTTTTTTGTTTTAAGGCACCAATAATCTACCGAAGAGTTCGGCCAGGAAAGGCGTGTTTGTTTTGGTCTCAACAAATTTGCAAATTTTATGCAGTAATTATAACAGTTTATTTATAAATCGTTAAGTGACAATTACATGAAATACGAGTAAGTGAACACATCATATTAGTTTTCATTAATATAACGTGATCAACCAGTTTTTTGTTGATTTGTAATTTAATAATTATCAATAAGATACGACTCAAGAAATATTATTCCAGTTTTATTACCTGTTTGATTCATAGTCAGGTCCGTACTATTTTTAAACACATGTCTCGTGTTAAAATCAAAAATGGAACCTAATATTCAGGGTCTCTCTAACACACCACATGTATTGCAATTACAGACAAATACCAATAAAACCTATTCATCAGCAGCTTCTACACAATTACTCTCAAAACATCAAGCAATTGTCTTCAGCGCTTTAGAAAATACGCGACTGCAAGATTACTTAATTCCTTTGGGTAACCTAATTCATCCGAAAAATATTATATTTTCCTCCCGACTATCCAATAATTGGATTTGCATGTACCTTGCAAACAAACAAATCGTGGACGAATTCATGCAAAATCATGGACAAATAGAAATCCAGAACAATATTGTACAAGCTAGATGATTATTCTCACCAGCGGAACGTATTGTTTTTTTCAAACGTATGTCCAACAATACCACACAGTCTGTTAGTTGATTATCTACAAAGTATTGGACTAGTCGGCAGTCGGACGTCGACAAGTGAGGTTGTGCTTTGTGGATTGAGAACAATAGACCTATTCAACGGAGCTTATCAGCTCCCGGTGAATGTAAGCACCGAGTTTGTGTAGGCTATTGTTTAACTGAAACAAAGATAAGAGTGGATGTATTGTTGTTATCTGTAAACCGTTGGAACGTTACATTTATTGGCGCGCCACGGAATACAATAGCAGCGGTATTTTCTGCAGAAAACTACGGGTGATCTCAGTGTGCGAAGGGAATGACACTGTAAGGCTTAGATAGTTGCAGCTAAGTCGGACAGAAACGGCCCCCTCTCCTGAGATTACAGAACTGCAAGCGGATCCATCCCTGTGATCACAGGGAGAGAACTATCGCGAAAGGTCTCTGGGACGACACCCAGAAACCTAACTGGCAGCGGCTAGTGAGGTGGAAAAAAACAGAGTCTACTAAGTAAGATACCCTACAATCTTTTGAACTCTGTTCACCGCCGTAAGGCAACATGTCGCTAACCTCCCCAAAGAATAGTCCTGACACGCACGTGTCAGAACTGGAAAAAGAAGATGACGACCAACCCCGGTCGCCCTCCCCCCATGTTGATAATTTATCTATAATATCAGACACTTATTCAGAAATAGACAATGAAATAACCGTACTTCGCGAGGCCGTTAGACACGCGCATCACCAAAATTAACGCTATGAACTACCCGAAATCTCCGAAGAAATGGATGACAACGACGAAGAAAATCACAGAAGGAAGAGGATACACTCCGACGACGACTCAGAACCTGAGCTTGAGGAAGGCAAAAAATACAAGGAAGCAGAGATATCTAATATGGAAAAAGCAGACATGCTAGTCGCTATAACCAAATTAAATCAAATAATAGACGTCCGGCACCGCTACTTCCGAAAAACCCAGGAAGAAATGAAGGCACAAATTCAAGACCTTCAAAACATCATTAAAGAAAAAGATACAGAAAACAAACGTCTAACAGACAAAATCATGAACATTATGAAAAGAAACGAGATATACCAAACGTCAACTAAACATGTACACAAGTACATGTACACAAACTAAACACTCCAGTAAAAGCTATAAATGTAAATTTTTGTCTTAATTTGTACTCTTCACTAATTAAACAATTTTATTTATAAGATCTCGATTTAACTTGTATTAAACGTTTTGTAAAATGTAGATTTGGTACGTTTTATTTTATGTTATTGTATATGCATGATTTTTGAAGATACCCTGTAGTTTAAACATTTGATGTGATAGACAAGATCTGAGGTCATTCTCAGATTCAGAGGAGACAAATTAGTGAAAAACAAATGTCAGATCTAACTCAACAAAAAATGTGTTCCCCAGTGTAATATAACCCTGCAAAATATATAATAAATGCTGGATGTCTGGATGGATCATTGAGGTCGCTTTCATCTACACCATATCCGAAGAGTCTCTCTTTCTTCCAAAGAGGGAAATTCATTAAAAACTAGCACGGGGATTTCGGCTGAACGCGGCACTGGGCGTAGAGCTGACGCTAAACTAGGATACGCTATCTTACATTTGTTTTTCTTGTTATATTCTGATGTTTTCACTATACAAAAGTAACAAACATTTGAATAATCTTTGGGCTCGCGCGAAATCATAGGTATACCAAATGGAAGTTTAGCACGTGTTCTCTTGGTCCACATTCCTAAACCCTCAGCACACTGTTTACACACTTTATGAGGTGCCCATGCTTTATCTTGATCACCAAGTCTCACTTTAAAATAGGCCAAATTTGCTTGTCTGACGAATGTACTGTTTGTGCTTTGATTGGGAATGGTAAAACTGCCACATATATAACAAAACGAATTGGGGAAGTTTTCACACTTACGACGCGTAGGAGTAGAGGTATCCATAAGGAAACGTTTCAGTTCAAACTCACTAAGTAATTCTACAAACTTAAGTAACGAAATACTAAATGCTGTTAACCAACACACAACGTTTCACCACGGTTTAACAGACGTTACTGAAGTGAACACGTGAAAAGTCAAGTCTAGACCAGTTGCAGTTATCTGCGCATTATTCATCCACCAACATGCGCCTTACCATCATAAAAACGAACGTGGCGTGATAGAAGAAAAGTAAAAACAGTTTTGAAATTAGCACGTCTAATTCTATAGAAAACAGCTAAAAAATCTAACTTAACAGAAATTGAGTTTCAAATAGTTCCCCAGTGTATTTATTACGTCCAAATTACATTTTATTTTTTAAGTGATATTTATAAGAAAGTAAAGCTAGATAATTTAGTATTTTTTCAGTATTTTTTAATTTTTTAATTAATAAAATATTGAATTTAGGTCAGTCAGACTTAACCACGACTGGTGTTCTATGAGGCGCCACCAGTACATAGTAAATTCCGACTTTTTTCGATGGCTTTAAAAATAAAAACATATATTAATTTATTGTTATATTTAATTAAAAAACACAGTAATAAATAAATATTTTTTTTAATACAACTGTAGAGACTTAAATGTTCATGTATGTTTTTACTCTGGAGTAAACGTCTTCCAAAACTTCTGGAACTGAACCAGTAGAGTTTATTACAATAACTCCTGGATTTTGCATATTTTTGTATGCTATTAATATGCTAAAATAAAAAGAGTAATATATAGAATAAGAATACAGTTTAGACAATCGTATTTGAAATATATTTTATGTGTTGATTTATTAACCCATTAGCGCTCAGTGGCAACTTTAGTTGCTAATGACTTTCAACGCCCGTAAAATCTCTTGTGTATTGTATGTGGCCTATTTTTAAGTGGTATATAATTTTAAGCGTGTCCACATGTATTTATAACCTACAAATTTGCTTGTTAACTTGTAAGGTGCTCGTTAGTATTTATTTCAATATTAGAGTTTTGCAGCAACTAAACTTAGTCCTAAACAATGTAAGTATTTTTTAGTTAATTTATAATATTTTGTGTTCATACTGAATTCATTTTAAACCAAAGGTTTATTGAAATCGTAGGCTTCCACGGCCAGAGTCAGAATTATAGTTTATTCGTCTTCCGGGTTTGGACCGTGTCATTTGTGAGTGACCCAAAAGTCAGAGATGAACCCACTTTTGGGTCACTCACAAATGACACGGTCCAAACCTGGAAGACGAATAAACTATAACAAAGGTTTATTATATATACTGATCTAAGAAAATTATTTATTCATTGAATTAACACATAATTATGCTACCCTAAATTCACGTGGCAACTTTAGTTGCCACCGAGCACTAGAATGATTTATTTTTTTCTTTTAGGTCTGAAGATAATACGTTTAGCGTAGATGAAATTATGAAAGCTTGTGAAGAAAATTACGGATCAAGTTTTTTTAGAAGAATCAGGTCTGTAGGAATAGTTCCTCCTATAGAATCTGCTGAAGCTGATACTCACGAAGATTCAGATTTATCAGATGACGAAACTGAAGGAAATCCAAATCATTTACCAGGTAGAATCCTCAGATCGAAAGCGATTGTTGAGTTGGATGAGGAAATTGTTGAGAATCATTCAAACAGTACAGTAAATATCTGTTTGGATGAGAAAAATATTGATTTGCCACAGCCAGGTACTTCAAAACCTATTGGAAATAAAAAGCGAAAAGTAATTGCATCTTCAAACAGTATTTGGTCTCAAAATAAAGAAAACAGTTGGAATTTACCTGCCGTTACTATACCCATCGATACTGGCCTACTATGGCCCATCGATTATAGAATTTTTGAAAAACTCAGTAAATTTTCCACTTCAAGCTTTCAAATGCTTTTTTACTGATGCTCTAATTGAACATATCATTACACAAACTAATCTTTATGCTGGACAAAAGGGGATGCATAGTTTAAATGTAAGTTATGATGAAATTTCTGTCTTCTTGGGAATAATCTTATTATCTGGTTACCACCAACTGCCGAGTAAGCGGATGTATTGGCAAACTGAACCTGACTGCAAGGTAGCTGTAGTTACCGAAGCAATGCGAAGACGTCGATTTGAAGATATATTACGGTATCTCCATCTAAATGATAACTCGAAGATAAACACTGACAGGTTTTACAAGGTCTGCCCTCTGTTTGATTATCTAAATAATTCATTCAAGCAAGTACCAGTTGGAAATTCAGTTGCTGTAGATGAGAGCATAGTCCCGTATTATGGACGTCATCCTACAAAACAATTTATACGGGGCAAACCTATTCGTTTTGGGTTTAAATTGTTGGTTTTAGCAAGCCCTAATGGATTTGTGTCTCATGCCGAACCATACTGCGGTGCACATACAAAGCTTCCTGATACTGGACTCGGACAAGGAGGAAATGTAGTACTAGGACTTGCTGAATATGCCAAAGTTCCTAGCGGGACTAAATTATATTTTGACAATTTATTTACTTCTGTGTCCTTACTTGAAGAACTGTCTAAACGAGACTTAGGAGGAACTGGAACATTGAGAGAAAATAGAATAGCAAAGTGGATGAATTTACCTCCGAAAGAATCTTTCAAGAAATGTGATAGAGGGACAACACATTCCAAATCTAATGGAAAGCTAACAGCCATTAGATGGAATGACAATGCTGTTGTAACAGTATTATTAAACTGCCACACAGAAGTGCCGTTTAAAAATGTTCAGCGGTTTAGTAAACGTGAAAAAAAGAAGATGATGATTAAAATGCCTGATGCCATTTCCCACTATAATTCTAATATGGGAGGTGTTGACCTAAATGATCAGTTCACTGCTCAATATAGATGCAAAATTCGTAATAAAAAATGGTGGTGGCCACTCTATGCTTGGTCTGTGGATGAATGTTGTGTTCAAGGTTGGCTTCTATATAGGCTTCTAGGTCACGAATTACCATACTTGCAATTTAGAAGACAAGTAGTATTACAGCTTCTTACAAAATATGGATGTTCTCCAACTAAACCCGGGCCGCATACATCGTTTTCCACTTCCGCTGTTTTAGAAGATCTAAGAACGGACAAGAAAAATCACATTATCGCGAAAGGAGACTCAAAGTACCGCAGATGCAAAATGTGTCAAAGAAGAACAACATACTTGTGTAATAAATGCAATGTGCCCCTACATGTGACTTGCTTTGAAACTTTCCATAAATAATTTCCATAATATGTATCTCTAGTTTTGTTAAAGCATGATTAGTTTTTAATACATTTCTATTACATAGAAAATTTTTGGTTATTACCAAACCGTAAGCGCTCAGTGGCAACTAAAGTTGCCACTCATTTTGACAACCTTTTGACAGACCTTGATTTTTTTATGTATTTTTTAGTAAATATGTAACACTATTTGTAATAAAATCTACAAAAAAATTTACAACTTTCAAACTTTTTTAGTTCTGAGCACTAATGGGTTAAAAATAATTAATAAAAGTTTTATAAAGTGTCTCATAACGCCTTTTATATTAAATCACGATATGTTCGTCTTTGTGTAAGTTTGATATTATCTACAATTTTTAGTGGGAACTAATCACAATTTCAGTTTAAAATACGTTTAATTTTAATCGATTTTGACTTCGCAAAACATTCTCAACATCAAATTAAACAAATTATTTCGCTGTTGGGCGTGAAAAAGGTGATACGTCAATATGTGGTGAAAACGGGATGAAGCCAAGTATAAGCTAAAAAAAATATGTTTTAAAGTAGAGGCACCAGTACCTGACACTTTAAGGCCAGAGAGATACATGTTCTGATATTAAAGCGTTAATTTTACTCAGATTTTTTGTTCTCTTAAGCAAAATGTATGATTAAGATTATTACTTATTGTACATGTGAAAGGAGATTTCATTTAAATAAAACTCAATTTCAACTAAATAAAAAATATATTTTAAAGATATATTTCAAATCCTTTATAAAATGTATATAATAAAATACCCAAACGGGCTATATCACAATTACATTACAGAACGTTTTTGGAATGTAAATTCCATCATCAGTGTAACGAAGTAGGTATACATGCTATGAGCCACTAAAATATATGGGTAAAAACCCGTTAAATGTTGTTAATTTAAAGTTTTGTTACAGTTGACAGTTTTGTTACAATTGTTACAGTTTTTTTAAAGTTTAGTGGCTCATAGCATGTATACTTCGTTATACTGATGATGGAATTTACATTCCGAAAACGTTTTGTAATATAATTGTGATATTATACCATTTGGGTATTTTATTATATACCTTTTATGCTACAGGCACTTAGTTTCCTAGTGGATTTTGAATATGTTATGTCCTCAATACCTGGCATTGCAAATTTTGCAGAATCCAATAGAATACCCAATACCTGACATATCAATAATGATATTTTAAATAAAAAAAATAACTTATTTATTATATATATATATATATACATATATATATATATATATATATATATATATATATATATATATATATATATATATATATATTCTTCTTAGTCGTTAACCTGATGCAGGTATCGTGATATCATGAAGCTGTTAGGTAATTTTTCCAATGTTCCTCCACGTTTTTCTATCTTCTGCCAATCTAGCACATTCTGACAATGGAGCGCCAATGGTAGCAACAATATGGTCCGTGTATCGTGTAGGAGATCTACCTCTACTTCTTTTGCCTTCTACTTTTTCCTGGATGGTAAGTTTTTTCAAGACCATTTCTTCGAAGCACATGTCCAAAATAGCTTATTATCTGTTCTGTAATTTGTGTTCTTAGTCTTTTCTTTATGTTTAGCTGGACCAGTATGGATTCATTTGTTCTTCGGGCCACCCATGGTATTCTCAGCATTCGTCTCCAGCAGTACATCTCAAATACATCTATGTTTTTTTGTCTTTCTCAGTAAGGGTCCAGCATTCCGATGCATAAGTAAAAACTGGAAAAACTAGACTTCTTACTAGTCTTATTTTTGTATCGGTAGTAATTTCATGGCTTTTCCAAATTTTTGTTAATTTTGCCATAGCGCTTTTTGCGATTGCTCACCGCCGCTTTATTTCTTCAGTACAGCCTCCTTTGTTGGTTATTAATGAGCCCAGATACACAAATTTATCTACAACAGCGATATTGTTTATCCTAACCAGATGATTTTGATTGTTGTTAGCTCTGTCAATTATCATGATTCTCGTTTTATCCCTGTTTATTTTAAGGCCTATCGTTAAGCTTACGTCTTCTATCCGTTGTAGCAGGTGAATCAATTCAGTTTCAGAACTAGCGAGGATAGTAGTATCATCTGCATATCTCAAGTTGCAAATCTTCTTCCCGCCAATGGTGATGCCACCGTTCCAGTCCTCAGTAGCTTTCCGCATTATCCATTCACCATATATGTTAAATAAAATTGGGCTTAGTATGCAGCCTTGTCTCACGCCCTTTGTGACCCTGAAACTGTCAGTTAGTTCCCCATTTATTCTAACTCTGGCATAATTGTTATTGTACATGCTTTTAATTAGCAGTATCAGATGATTAGGGACTCCCATTTCAGACAAAACCTGCCACATTTTACTCCAGTTGACCAAATCGAAAGCTTTACTATAATCTATGAAGCACAAATATGTTGTGATGTTGAATTCTCTGATTTTTCTACAATCTGCCGTACGTTTAAAATTTGTTCTCTAGTACCACGTCCTGGGACGAAACCTGCTTG